TAGGTTCATAAAGGGTACAATTCAGGGTGACTTTCCAGCCAGCGGGACTTTCCAGCTAGTTCCCCTCCACGGATGTAAATCACGCTCATCTCCATAGATATATATGAATTTAACGCCATAGTGTTGAACATTCCAGGTTGAACAATAATTTTCATGGAGAAAAGTCACTGCACAATGTTATAGCTTAACACTATTAAAATGGACCTGTACACAATATTTTTTCCATGTTTTTGAACAAGTAAAGCTCTATTGTATAAGCACCTGATAAGAGCTGCTTATACAATAGAGCTATGAACTAATTCCATAAAGTTTACTATTGTGAGAGAGACAGAGAGTGCACAGTTCGCATGTTAGTTGTTCTCTGCTCTCCGCTTTTCACTGAAAGTTGTGAAAAGCATTTACAAGTTTGTTGCGGTGAACAATTAGGATGCTCAGAATGCAATAAGGCAAGCAAACCAAACTTTTTTTTCTCTGGGGGCCACATTATCGCTCCTGACTGTGATGGGGGCCGGGGTCGGGTCGGCCATATAACGGAATTCTATGACTGTGTCAACGCAGATTATATTCTCTGAAAAATGACACTTTTTTACATATTTCAAACTACACGGTCCTTACACTGAACAAAAAAATAATTGAGTGTTCTCTTTTCTTTGAAAAGTCGGTACTCAACTTTTCATACACTCACTATTTTGCTGTCCTTAACTGCAGTACAGTACTTTACGGGTTGCTTTGACTGTCACTGTTGGATCTTGAGCTTGTCAGGTGCTGAAAATTCAGCTGCAAATTCAGCAGCAAATGTAAAGACATAATTATTTAAATATAAATTCTTCATATAATTAGAATATATTTAATGGAAAAAAACACCATAATACAAGATACATACGTTTGCCAAAAAGTAATTTAAAAAAAGGCCATGACAACTTTTGAGGATTGCCTCATAGGGTCAGTTCAAGTGGTGGGGGGAGAGGGGCTGGGGGGCCGGTCAAAAGGGCATGAAGGGCCAGAGTCAGCCCTCAGGCCTTAGTTTGATGACCCCTGCTCTATTGTATAAGCAGCTCTTGAGGTCAAAATAAGTCCATAAATTGTACTATTGTGCGAGAGACAGGGAGTGCACAGGTAGCATGCTAGTTGTTGTTAGCATTATCGCCATGGCAAAACTCTTCACGACTTTCAGTGAAAAGCGGAGAGCACAGTGCTTGCAAGCTCATTGCGGTGAACAATTAGGATGCACTGAATGCAATAAGGCAAATCAGGAGTAACTTTGGACCCCTGCAAATGGTTTAAAATTACTTCTGTTTATCACATTTTTACAGTAAAAGGTATAAAGTATTGCACCTTTAATCCATCAAAGCTCAAAATAAACCTCTAACCTTACACTAAACCATTCACAATATCACATCCCCATGACTTCTGCTCTCTGTCCTCCATCTCCTCCATTTGTCACACTCCATGTGTCTCTGTGATGAGATTTTTCCACTGGTTCATAATTAGGTCCGATATCTGCTTCGGTCTGCTTATATGTCCATACATCCCCATCCACGGGGCAGTACCGAGAAGGCACACACTAAAGCGGCAATAACACCGAACCACAAATCAATGCCTGTCCGGGGGCTAACAGCTGTGAAGGAAAACTATTGACCTGGCTTTAAATTTAGTGTGGCACTGTCAAGTGAAACACTGTTTTATGGATTTGTCAGTAATGCTGTGCTATAACTTACAGCCAGTTAACAACAGAAAATTCTTACACGACTGATAATATGATTTGTTTACCGTGTACTCAACTGGCAAAAGAAATTTCAACTACAGTCTATTAAAAGTCTACTAAAAGTTTCCAAAAGCTTTAATAACCTATGACTGAATTAGTGTAGTGTTGCAATACTACCTTTTCAAACCTTATTATGAAACCACGGGGGGGAAAAAATGATGCAGATTTTGACCACAATATAGATTGTTACCACGTGGCCTGACTATATACAGTGTGTACTAAGAATATGTACTAAGGCTAGTGGTTTTAGGGGTGAATTTGGAGCAAAGTTCTATATTAGAAATAGGAAATAAAAACACCTGAATTATGTAGAGCGAGCAGGTTAATCCGAACATTTTAAGACCAAGCCTGGAGCATGACAGCAGTAGTTTTTTTTCAATACAAGGTTAATAGGAAGCTCATTTATATATGCAGTCTATGGGTCTGACAAAAATCTAAATCCTTCTAAAACTTTAATGAGTATCTACTTTCAACAACAGTTTGAATATTGAAATAGTTTGAATATTGGTTCTTATCTGTGTGTTGATTTTTTGAAAACATCAATGCACCTGAAATCTTCTATGACAATAACTTAGGCCATAAATTGCACAAAAATCACAATTTACTATGGCTGATCAATTCCAAATTTCAAATTGAGATCTGGATGAAAATAGAAATTTTATTTTTTTTGGCAAAAGACCCACAATAATCTCCAATAATGGCAAAGTTCAGATACATGAGAAACTCAGGTACCTATCTAAATGCAATGATAATGCCACACTTTCTTTACTGCATAACAAGTTGGTCACGGGCTTGTAAATCAGCTCTGAGGCCTCTAGAATCATTATATAAAAGTGCTCTCAAGACCCATGACAAGAAAAGTCGGTTTCAGCCCTGTCATATTCTTGTGAAGCACAGCCTTCTAAGTTTTGCAAATGTTTGTCTGTTGTTTAAGATCACTCGTGGTACTGCTGCTTCTCCGCTAAAACAGTTTGTATCTCTGAGCTCTGAAACCATTTCCCGAGCTGCTTGATCCACTGTGCGCGACGAGTGCGGGATTCCCAAACGCAGGACGGTATTTGGAAACTCAGCGTTTTCATGTGCGGCCGTCCGTCAGTGAAACATGTTACCAACAGAACTGATCACGTGTTCAAACTACGGCACTTTCTCACGCCTGGCAAAACAATGGCTATTCTCAAACCAAACCTGCACCCATAATGTGATTGATGAGTGTCTGGAGAGAGTGTGATGTTTTGGAGTGAAAGAATTTAATGATGATTAAGAGGATGATGTTTTAAAGATGCTGAGAGAACTGGGTATGAATGATAATACAGAATTGCTATGATGATCTTGTCATTATAAAGACATTCACTTTGTATGTTTGATTTTATGAACTATAACATCAACCTGCCCAGGGACGACAGGTGGGAAAGAGCTCTAATTCTACAACCTGGTACATGCATCTCTCCTGTTAAGGTTAATGTAGACTGTGCACTATCCCCGTCTTATTAAATAAATAAACTAAACTAAAATAATCTCTTGACTGTTTTCTTGTTCATGTTATTAGTTTCTATGTTGATTACTTTGGGCATTAGTGGGAGTTGTCTAAACAAGCTCAAGTTAGACTATTAGCTTCTTAGCATGTCTTTGGTCCAACTACTGTTACTCTCTCTACCACTCAAGTACAATTCCTCCATGAAATACAATGCACAAAGGATACACGATACAGGATGTACCATCATTTTTGCAGCCTAGCATTTCTAACTCCGCCATTGTGAAGCTATGTCACTATATAATTAAAATCTACTTTTTGTGTAGTGAACGAAAGAATAGTAAGATATTTTTAAAAGTTATAAAATTACAACTTCAACAAAATCCACAAAAGCTGTCACTATATTACAACTAAATTTTCTACACAAACAACCATGAACCTTGATGATATAAAATTCAATACTTGGGCCCACCCAGCCAAAATGAATGGATGTTGTTGTGACCTAGTGAAACACACACCATTTCTACAGCTGAGTTTGGATTTCAGAGTCATCAGTAGTCATTCACAAACAACAGAAACCATTCTAGACCGACCAAAAGGGGTTAAGGAACACACAATACTGGAAAATATTGTGTTACTGTGACACTAATTTAAGTTATTTTAAACTGTATCCCGTATCTTAAAAGGTGCATTGTGTTACTTTTCTGACTGGGGGCCCGTCACCTCCTTGTTTCATGTATATGTCACTGCTCTACATGCAGTGTTCCACAGTATGACATTAAAAAGCTCTACCTAACATTTATTCAATTACCGGTGGTTTTATAGCTCAAAAATACCATATTTTTCGGACTATAAGTCACACTTTTTTCATGGTTTAGGTGGTCCTGCGACATACTCCGGTATGATTTATATATTAAAATTTTCAGACTGACAGCCACGAGACTGCGCTCTAGGCTTGTTTATCAGTTTTCTGCACATATCTCTGGGATATAACTGGGACTGGTGCACCACCCAACATTCCTGGAAGTTATTGGATGACAAAACATTGACTTCAGTGACAACCGAAGTTGCACGGAGTTGCTCAGAAGTTACACTGAGGATGAAGGATTCAATGGATTCAATGGATTTACTGATTTGGAGTGAGATGGAGAGTTTGGTAAACTTATGTTCTGTTGCTTATGCTATAGTTATCTGAATAATTGTTAATATGTTACATTAGCATAGTAACGCCTATTCAGGCTGTTGTTCTTTATTCTTTTGTTATTACTATAACTTGACTTTCAAGATAAAATGGTCCCTGGTCCCTGATTTTATAAAATAAATTTCCCCCAAAAGGTGCAATTTTTTATTTTTTTTGGCTGGTGCGACTTAAACTCCGGAGTGACTTGTAGTCCCAAAAATACGGTACCTAGAAAAAGAGGCATTCTGATTGTGAGCAGGGTCGCCTCTCCACATATCTGACCTGTAATTTGGTCTGGTTTGGTCTCCATGATGATAGAAATGTTTAATACCATACTGTGAAACATTCCAGATAAACTAATAACATCTCCATGGAGAAAAGCATTTGACCGACCCTCCACCAGAAAGTTACTAGTCAAACTATCAAAATACATGACTAATCAAAGCTAATTTCGATTAATATGGAAAATCTGTCATAAAACCTGTACATTTCTGTTTCTGTGTCTTTATTAGTTTGTTGTGATACTGATTATTGCCAATATTGTGATATACTGTGAGATATTCCTTTATGCTACTGCTATTTACCTTGCTGTCCAGTTTCTTCATCGTGACCAGGTCCAGAGACTTGAGTGAGTGTCCCGTGGGTGCGATGAAGTAAAGGCAGATGTGGATTCTGGTGTCGTGGTAGTTAAACAGCGACCGCTTGATTTTGAGCTCTTCCTGAAGATAGTTTTCAAACTGAGTGTCGATGTAGTCCACTATGGGCTTGTAACTGTGGAGCGAAAAGACAAAACAAAGTTAAACAAAGTGCTTAAGTGCAGCAGAACCATCAGCCTTCTCAGCTAATCCATCTCCTCGCCTGATCACAACAGTTTAATTTGTTTAATAATTCTACCGTATTTTCTGGACTAAAAGCCGCCACTCTTTGAACCCTATGGCTTATACAATGATGTAGATAATATATGGATATGATTTGGCAAAACGGCGGATGCACACGCAGGCTGAGTCCAGAAAGTGCCGCTGTCTGTGCGGTTAACATGTAGTTACAACAGTAGCCAGCTCTGTTTTCAGCGCACTAAAACAGTTATGAAATAAGTATAAATCATAAGTATAAATATAAACTAATATAAAAGTTATGATGCTAAATTAACATATATACGATTATACGTCTTTCCCGTATGTGTTAAATGCAGGTGGGTGGTGCGTAAATGACAAGCCACGTCTCAATCTTCAGTAGCCGTACACTCGTACCTGATCGGTACAACGAGCTCTGCCCCGGGAGAGCCTAAAATTTGCTGAAATCCTACAAAACACTGGCATGATACAGACAGGACAGTGGCTGTTTCTGCAGAAGACATGCGCAGTAGAGAGTGCAGGGAGAAATGGGGGGGATGATGTGCCGAAGAAGCAAGTTTGATTGTATTTTGAACAGTTATTTTGCGCTTCATGCACACACCTCATGGAAAATACATGAAGAAATGATGAAGAAATGCACATGATGCAGCTTTTAAGATTAAAGCAAATGATGCGACTGTTGAAGAAGGAAATGGAGCTACTGCACATAAGCTTGGCATCAGGGAGTTGATGGTGAGATGTTGGCAACAGCAATGTGATGAACTGACTCAATGTAAAAAGACGACAAGCCTATATATGTACAAATGTTTTTTTCTTTTAAAATGTAGTTCATGCGGCTTATATTCAGGTGCGCCTTATCCTACCTTATCAAAAACATACCTGGAGTTGTTTTGCTTCATTCACACATGTTTGAGTAATCCTTTATAATTAGTTTGTCTACCTCTCCAAAGTTCTAAATGCTCTGGTCCACCTTGTGAATACATATTTTCTGTTTGAGATAAGAACTCAAGCAGGATTTGTGTTTTAAACTTGTGTGAATGAAACAAAACGCAACTCCAGGTATGTTTATGATGGGCCTTTCTTCTAATTGAGATAGTTATGCAGTGAAATATAAAAGCAGCTTTGTGGAAAAAAGAGGATGAAAGATATGACATTGCATGCATTTTAACAGACATTTTGTTCTATAAGAAATTTATAGAAGCAATTGCCAGGGACACTATTTTTGTCACGTTGTTGAGGACTATGTGGAAACTATTGCCGGTGAGCATCCCAGGTGGCTGTTTGTCTGTGATGCGAGTCAAAAGACTAAGTGACTGGGGCTTATAACTAAAACATGTTCCTCGATCCTCGTTCAAAACTCTGTACCGGCCCTTTAAGAACACCCATTTCCCAGCGTTATGCAGCACACACACAGAGCCTCTCGTCTTGGTTCACTCCCATCTTCATTTTTTGCTGAGAAATCCACAACTTCTGACCTTTCAGCTGTTCAGTTCACTATGAGCAGCCGCGGGGTCTGGCCTAAAGCATCCCGGATCTGTGGCCCAGAGAGACACACAACCAAAGGGCGTGAGAGAGAGGCCGCTGCTAGGACACGGCTGGAACAAACTGTCCGAGATCTGCATTCAGAAAGGCCATAGTGCTACGAGTGCTAGAGACGAAACTAGAGAGAGAAATCTGTGTGTTTAAGTCTGTTTTTCGCATTTATTTTTGATGGACACGTTGAGCTGGCGTACACATTTCTGCTTCAAATTCAGTGTTGGTTTTGGAGACAACGTGAAAGGAATTCTCCCGTTAAACTATTGGAAAACACACTCTGGAATGTGAAGCACCTGCTGATGTTGCCAGATATTGAGGTTGAGTCATCTTACAGTTAGGACAATTATACTTTATTAGGTACCGTATGTACATTACTATGTGCGCACAATAGTTATCTTTATGGATTTAACAGATAAGTACATAGCAATTATGAGAAGTGTTAACCACAGAGGCACTGACAAATCCCAACGCACACATCAGGATTCACAATGCAGAATACCAAGGAAAGGTTCACTACTCAATATCAAACAGTGCTACCATCACAGTGTTTTATTTTTATTTTTTTTAATGACAGAATGTAATTTGCAGACCTACAAGAGGAGACCAGTATGGATGTAGTCGACATGTCCTGCCAATCAATTAGTTGACTAAAAAAGAGGCCACGGAGAATGCTCTCAAAATTATTACAAATCTCTGCGTATGTTATTCGAACTGCAAGAGTTCATGCTAAGACGACTATTTATGTAGAGAAAGTATTAAGAAAGAATATATTTATATAAAGTGAAGACTTGTGAATCATAAAATACCAAAAATACCAAATCTACTCACTCACTTCTTCTTTCTGCTGCTGTCCCATATAAATTTTAATAAAATGATGAGTCAACTGGTACAAGTTTTAATCAACTAAAACACCAGCGACTGATTAATCGAGTAAACAATTAAAAGGACTACAGCCCTAGTCATTTGTAACACACAAATATGGTAGCTTTTTTAACTTTGCCATTTTTGTTTGTTTTGTCTTATAGAAATTATGATGTAGATCAAGACCATTCTCAAACGATTCATGAAAAATCAAACTTTCCATTTTTGTGATTTTTTGAGGATGAATATTTGTTAAAGTATATAGTTTTGATAATGATTTTAGAATCAGATAGTATAGGTATCAATCTTTTTTTTTATCTGCTCATACTATAAAAGACGCAAAAAGGTTTTACAAACTACATGTATAACAGTGTTTCTCAAAGACTGGGTCGCGAAACCCAGGTGGTTTGCAAGAGATGTTTTTTAGGTCGCCTTGTCACTATCTGCATGTAGGTCTGCAATATACAGGGCTACATTAAATGTCCAAATAGGCGACTTATGGATCCCTTTTATTGCTGGTTCAATGTCTGTTTTTCATTGTTTAAAGTTTGAACTGAACTAATTGTTCAGACACGATCACTCAGTCAACAATAAAATATCCTCATTAATGTTTAGTAAATCCACCTTTATTTTGTGATTTACGAATAATGTCTGTCTTGGGTCACAAAGGTTTGTGACTTTTAAAATATGGATCCCCAGACCCAATGGGGAAACACTGATGTAGAAGATAGTGCCATGTTGTCCATTTGTCTCACCTGTCCTCTTTATTGATCTGGTCCCCAAAGCCCACAGTGTCCACAATGGTGAGCTTTAGGTGCACGTTGCTCTCCTGGAGGTCATAGGTCCGAGGTCGCAGGTAGACTCCATTCTGGTAGTGACTGGCCTCCTCATTCTCAAACATGGTGTTAAACAGTGTGTTCATTAATGTGGACTTTCCTATGCCCGTCTCCCCTGTGAACAATAAACACAGAAACAAAATTAAAAGCTGCAATGTGTAACTTTTCCTGTGTAGGGTCCACCTGTCTCAATGGAGAATTGTTATTGTAATTGATATGTCTTGAATGTTCAATAATATTAGCCAGGGTAGCACCACCTATTTTCTCACCAGCAACTAGGTCAGGAATCAGAATACACTATTTTTTACAATATTTTTAGGTTTGCAAGAACCCCGGAAGTTCTAGACCGCCATGACTGGGTCCCTTTTTTGGTACAGCACAACAGTAAACGAAGGTTTTTTGTTTGTTTGTTTGTTTGTTTTTAACGAAAACATCTACATAATAGATAAGAAGTCCTTGGCAAACCTCCAACCAAACTTTAAACAAGGCAACTTTACATATCTCAGTCCCTACTACATAAGTTGTTAAATACAGAGGATATTTTGCGGATTTTGTAGCAAAGCTGTCTCCACCAAATGAAATTAACACATTTACACACACTTAAAATCCAATTTTCAATTAGGAAATAGTTTGGATTCCTTTGCTTGCATGCGACTGCCATCACATGGGAGCAATTCTCCAGCTTCACACACAAATATTTATGGCAGCCAAGCATAAGGAGGAGCTACTAATTGGTTGACCACATTGTTTGAGGAAAAACAAATCAAGCCTCTGTCACTAAGATAAACTCCGTGGAACAAACAATGGGGTTAAAGTAATATTGATGACAGTTGGATTTCTCTATTATAACAGGTCTTGCCTATTCTGTTTTCTAAACTTCCCATGTGTCACTAAAATGCATTATGTAGCTGCAATGAAGTAATAACTACAAACTATAAGGACCATGATGCTTTGCTCGTTAAGCTGATCAATCTCGTGGAAACATGTGGACACAATAGGTCAAGTAACAGGTCAGATCTGTGGACAGGCAAGAACAATCACAGTAACAGTTCATGTTTTTGTAATCATTTAATAATTCAAGCTAAATGTGTTTAAAGGTCCCATATTGCGCTATTTTCCAATTTATGTTATAATGTTGTTTCCTCATCACAGTTGTGTTTTATTTCATTCACACGTTTAACACACAAACCCTGTATATTTAGGCTCTTTTCACAAACGGAAACAGTAAATACTCCACCTTGATGTCATGTGGTAATACAGGAAGTGCTCCAGTGTGTTTTAAACGTACCTTCACTAGAATCATTTGGATCATTTCAGCTCTGGAATTTCTGAATTAAAGGTAAAAGGTAGCTGTTAACTTGAAAACTACCACTACATGATATCACAAGGTGGAACAGAGCATTTTGAGCTTCCGAGATGTAGACAGACTAATAAATCAGGATTATTCAAACATGTGTGAATGAAAGAAAACACAACTCCAGGTATGTTTTGCTCAATGCTCACAAGAGTCAATTGTGTGTAATAATGTCATATTGTGAAACACTTCAGGCAAAGCGATAAAATCTCTCTGACGACAAACTGGCAGCCGACCTCCCACCGGAAATGTTCCAGAGACCACCCTTTTCGTGTGATTGATCTTGCAGAGCTTGGACTCACCTACGCAGAGGATGTTGAAGCAGAATCCCTGTGTGACCGATTTGCTGACCAGCTGATCGGGAAGGCTGTCGAATCCAACATGGCCGCCCAAGCTCAGGCTCCTCTTCTCCTCGTTCTGAAAGTGTAAAAGAGAGAGGTTGATGAGGGAACACACTGTAAAGTCATTAGCGCTACATTCCTCTGCTGCAGTGGCTTCAAATCAGGGCCGCCCAGGCTGAACAATTGTGGAAAATATGCGATTGCCATTTTAGGATTTTTGCTTTTAGATTTGGAAGAGTTTAAACTTAGAATTCACAGTGTACATTTTAAGCAAGTCCAGAAGTTTTAAAGATTTGAACAAAATTAATAATAAAAAAAATTAAATAAAATAAAAAATATTTTTTCATAATCAAGGCACTCAAAGCAATTTACATCAAGGAACTACTCACTCATTCACACACATTTATACACCAGTGTACACAGACACTAAGGCTACGTTTACACATAGCCGGGTATGTTCAGAGACGAATATATCCCTTCCTCCATTTTCCAAAATAACATTGTGCACGCAGCATCGTTTTCAAAAAAGTTTTCATTTACATCAACCTTCATAAATACACCATCGAGCGCCATCATAACTACACCAAGCCTTTGGGCGGCACCTGGATTAGATTCAAACCTGTAGCATTTATTTCATTAAAGTTGTAAGTATTACTCAAAAATGCCTTGAAAAATGTGCATTACTGAGTGGGATATGTTAAATAAGGGGCAAAATTGCTGAGCTCCAAGCCTCATTCATCTCTGGTCATGGACATGATCCATCAGCTGTGTGTGCAAATACAAACGCATGAAAAGTGTTTGCACCTGAAGAAATGTGACTGCTGCACTGAATGCTTCACGCTCATCATCAGAGCAAAAACACTGGTCACACTTTTGGTGCGTCAGCTGCCTGAAACTCCGTTTATCTCACTTTACACGCAAATGCGAAACGGTAGTTTTCCAGAATCTCCACTCTAGCCAGAGTTTTTAGAAAGATTCATTTTCAGAGGTGAATTCACCGTTTGCGTGCAAAAGATGGGTACAAACGAAGGGAAATGTGTCCATTTTTAGAATGACCTGTGTAAGTGTAAACGGGGCCAAAGGTGAGGGAAGTTAATTGTCTTGCCCAAGGACAAAATGACAGAATTAATCTGTGGGAGCTGGAATCATACTGCCAATCTGTAGGTCAGTGGATATGACTGCTCAACCAATGATGCTTATGTTGAGTGCGCCAACCTTTGGATAAAAGGACAAACACTCAACCAACTGAGCTACTGTCCGTCTAAACTACAATGTTGGCTAGTTTAATACAACACCTCGTGGATTTTTAGTTCTCAGAAAATCAAGATTAATTGCAATCAAATCAAAATTATAATTTGAAGGTTCACAATTTTTTAAGTACCATAATTTCCTCCACAAGACAACAAAATATCCTGTGTAATTCTGCATTAAAATGGCTAACTGATGTTTAGATCTGTACAGACATATTCAGAAATTAGTTTTTTATATCAGCTAGTCAGTTCATATTTCATTTTTTGTGTTTTTGTTTCCTTATTGCCACAAGAAACGGCAGCCTGATTAACTTTCATTAATCACTGAGCCCTGCTTCAAAGTCTGTTTTGAAATATGGAGCTGATTGGAGCAAAGTCAAGAGCTGGTTAATCCGGGCCTGCAGTGAGGATGTGAGCATGAGCAACTACAGATTACACATAAGCCCAGAAATCCCAGAAAAGTATTTGGCAGCTAATGACGGGTTTATGGCACCAAGTCAGCAGCCACGCTTATTAACTGTGTTCTAAAAATGACTAAACCTGACAGCCTGGAATCTGTCACATTGTCTTACATAAATACATTTATATTTTATTACATAGTTTAGTATTATTAGAGAAAGGGAGTTGGCCAAGGTTTTATTCATTTCTATATGATTAGCTCTTTTTGGACAGGATTTTCAAATTTTATGAAGAGGTCAAAAGTGGTTCAGCACAAAACTGAATTTGCTCAAATCAAGGCCTGAACGAAATTCTAATAAAACTTAAACTATCACGCATTTGTTTACATGCAATAATGTAAAAGCAGCTCAAAATAAGAGACTATTGGCATCTAATTATTAAGTCTTGATTGAACCAGGAAGTGTGCTGTTAGCATTCTAGCTGTTACTTTGACACCACTCTGGAAAATTGTGAAAAAGCGCTTATATTTTACAGTGACAACACGCTGGAGGTGATCTGTGTATTTCTAAGGCGAAATGTCCAGCAGTTACCATGGTGACACAATGCACAAATTAGCAAAGCACTGTCAAGAAAGTTAAAGAGTCTGAAAACTGAAGAAAAAATACTAGGGATGTAGTAACATCCAAATCTCTCGGTACAATATTATCACAATATGCATCTCATGGTACGATATTTATTGCGATATTTTGGAGATGCTGATATAATTGTAGATAGGACACGTTTCTACTTTTAAAATACCTTAACAAGATTTTGTTGGGATTATGACAGAAATAACTCACAAGAATTCAAGTACAAAACATATTTCTTCATGTTGTTTGCACTGAAATGCATCATGAATCATTTATTATTTGTTTTTAAAGCTGTGAATGGACTGGTCCCACAATACATCTCGGACCTTATCCAAATTTACACCCCCGCGCATGTTTTGAGGTCCGAGGGCTGGCTCCAGCTCATAGTGCCTAAAACCAGAGGGGGACAAGGACCTTCTCTGTAGCTGGCCCCAAACTGTTTTAAGTCTCGTCTTAGACCCACTTTTATTCTCTGGCTTTTAACACCCCATGAGTTGTGTAGTCCTCTGTGTCTTTTTTTTTATTTATTTATTTTTATTTTGTATTTATTTATTTATTTTTTTATCCATTTTATTTTTTTAGTACTGCTTTTATGTATTGATTTTATAATTTTATTATATTATTTATATTTTTAAGTAAAATGTTTTACATTGCTATGTGAAGCACTTTAGAAACTCTCTTGCTTAAAATGTGCTACACAAATAAAGTTGGTTGGATTGTATTGATGGGATATGTAGTTCCTTATGTTCATAAACTGTTCCTACTGTAAAATCACGCATTTAAGCAAAGAAACTTGTAATACGATATATTGTGACAGCCCATGATATTATTGTGAGACTTTTGACAATACGATATCACGATATTTCAGTTACTGTTACATCCCTAAAAATGCTAAATGCATTTAAACAACACATTTTCAAGAGCCTGTGATCAACACGTGCATTCATGGTCCTCTTCAGGTGTTTGATTTTCAACAAAAATGTCCAGCTTGGCATACTAATTCTAGCTATCTTGAGAATTTTAAGTGAGAGAGACTTGTTTAACAGCACAAATCTTCTCACCTGTTTTAGTTCCAACTACACCAGCTCTTTCTAGTGAGGATTGTGTTTAAAAAAAGCACAGTCTAACAAACCTCAGTTGGACCAGTGCTCAAAGTTAGCAGTACACCCCCAGGAAATGTTGATGACCTCAGCTGCAAAGAATCAATAAACCCCGGGCAAATAATTAGGATGCTGGGAAAGTGAGGAATAACTTTGGACCGCTGTAGACTGTTTAAAATGAACTAGTCGTGGTTTCACATTTAAAAGAAAGCAAAAATCAGGTAGGCCTACATTGGCTTTAATACCTTTCTGTAACATGTCACTCAAGTATGACCATCTACATTTGTAAATAGTCAACAGATATGACATTTCAAGTAAACGACGCCCATGTAAGCTCTGAACTATATCAAACATGACCCAGGAATGTGCAGCAGTCTGTGGGAACTCCAAAACTGTGTAAACACTGTACCGTAGTAATGAATGCATACGTTTTCCCCTCAGAGCTTCGGGTTACATCAGCTCTGCCAACAAAAACACGACTAATCCACTTTACATTGCATTTACATCATTTCTATGGCTCTAAATGACAAACAGAGTTAAGTTACAATAAAGCACATGTCTGAAGTGACAGCTATGGCAATACCAGCTATTCATCCTTCTATATTTAGAAGCAGCAGCCTTCAAGATGAGACACAAACATGGACAAAGTGGACAAAGGGAGCATGACGTCGGCTCCAGTCAAATGAAGCTCATCGAGGCCCGCTGTTATGGGGCAAATTTGAAGCCAAGTTCCATTTTAGGAGTAGGAACTGATGAAAAAATGATGAAACAAAAACACCACGAACATGTAGAGAGGGTTAATACGAACTTTTTAAGGCCAAAATGAGAAGCCTACATTACGAGCAGGAAAGAATTGGAGCCAGAGTCGATGGAGCCGAAAATGGACCCATACTCATTTCCTATTCGGAACGCAGCGGGTTAGCTATGTCTGTTTATACAGTCTATGGATTCATATTGTGCCAGGATCTACTGCACATACCCCTACTGCTTTTTAACAAGGGGCCTGAGTTGGAATCTAAATAAAATGATTAGTTGATAAAAACGCTAATTTTAGTCAGCTAAGGCTCAGACTGGAGGGCTTAATTCAGATTTTTTTTGTGAAATCCAAATTTTTTTGTGAGGTCATTCACATTTCCAGTTAAATGTGACTTGTATGTGATCTCCAGTGTGAACTTTAAACACCCAAAAAGTGTCCCGCATGTGCAATGGAGGACACGACGATGTCACTTGCTGCTCATTGTTTATGGAAGTCGCCAAAACGCTGGGCTTGTCTCCAAATACAGTCCAGTTCTTCGTAAAATGGACAGATTACACGTCCACCTCCACTTCGTTTGTTTGAGTCTATAGCCTCTTTGTATTTGGCTCGTACGCTCTTTATTTTTCGTTGACATCGGAGCCAGGACCGCCTGTAGCCGCGCTCAGACATTTCTTTGGCAATCATTAAAAAAAAAAAACGCCCGGTTCCAATAAGACCTCTCCAAGTTGGCCGGAATAGAGCGATCCCCCCAAATATGAATAAACTCGCTAACCTCGCTTTCCCTCCATTGACTAGACTCCAAGCCTGACGTGTAGGTGGGATGAATGTGACTTGGCTGTTCAGACTGAAGTCACATGTCAAAAGATCGGATGTGTATCGGTTTTAGGAGCACATATCCAAGTAGCCTGGGTAACATTTGAAAAAAAATCGGATCTGTGTTG